TCTGGTTTTAATCTATATAGCTCTTCATCATTTGGGACGCAGTATCTTCTTTTTACACTTCTTTTTATATGTTCCTACTCTTCCCCTAAGGACATCTATGGAAAGCCTGTACTCTGGGTGCACGCTCTCTCTCTCATGCTGAGGTGTAACAACTGGCTAAGGACTGGTGTTTTCAGTCTTCACCATTTTTATTGCCTTTTCTTCCTCTGGCAAAGTCATTTTTATTTACCAAGCTTTTAGGAACAGGATAATGTTACTGCGGGTTTTAATTGCTTTAGCACTAATTTTACAAGTGATATATTTTTGTCACTTGTTTTATCCTTTTAAAATTCTTTTTGATTGTAATTTTAAAGTATAAATTACATTGGGATTTCTCTTAAAGAAGGAAAGCAAATAAATAAATAAAAATAATAAATAAATAAATAAATGCATACTTGTTCTCTTAATGTAATTAGCAAACTTCATTGTTGTTCATTTTGAGTCAAGGCTGCTTCTGACTGCAGGATGCATCTCCCCCCCCCCAAAAAAAAATATTAGAAGTTTTAATCACATTCTGTTAATGGTTTGGTTCTTCAGTTCATTCTGGATGGAAGCATCCTGTACCTCATATTTAGATGATATATTAGCTTTCAGGAAATCATGGGTAGGTATTTCATTAGCTGTATTACATAAGAAGGACCAGAAATTATTAATAGCTGTAACAAATCTTATGAATTACAGTAGTATGTACAAAAGCTGGCGTAGTTTGCTTAGAGTGTAATGACAGCTTGAAATATAGATAGTCCTTGTTTGATGAATGCCTTGTTTAGTGACCATTTGTAGTTATGATATTTTTTTACAACAAATCCTTATTTTATTTATTTATTTAAAGCAGTTGTATAGCTATAGTTGTATAGCTTTCTGCTTAGCAACAGAAATTTTGGACTCAATTGTGGTTGTACGTCAAGGACTACCTGTATATATTGGACTGATATCAGGTTTTCAATTTCAATTACATANAGTAGAATAGAATACGTGTGTGGTCCTGGGTGCAATTGCCTGTGCTGTACCACAGAAGCCCATTCTTTATAAAAGATATGCTCAGTTTAATACCAGCTGTGGCTTATAAATGTGTACCGTCTGTAATTTTAGTAAGATTGCTGAAACTTTCTGTTCAAGTTCTTGGAACATGGAGAAGGAATTCACCTTAATTCTGCTAATGTTTCAATGTTGTGGTGTGTATACTTGCAAAATTAGCTGCTCAAAGTTGCCTTCATCTGCAAGATGAATGGCAAATAAATTTGAACACCATCAAACATCAACATCTGCCTGTCCCTGGGAAAGACGATAAGTTGGCAGTTGCCACATCCAGTCTGAAAAATCTATGTAACAAACAATAATAATAAAAAAATAACTCCCTAGTCCACACTAAGAATTCTTTGACTTAATTCCTGGTCAGAAGCTGTTGTGTTTGGAATATTAAAGGTTGATTTGGCACCAAGGAAAATTGCACTAAATGATTTATCACTAAGGTAGTTTCTGGTGTTGATAGTTCAGGCTGATACTTGCATGTATTGTGTAGTGTTGAATGGCAGATGTGATCCCAATGACATTTCTAATTCTATTTCTTGTTAACATGTGTTAAAAATTTGGATTTGACGGGTCTCTTACAGCTTCTTGATTTCCAGAATAAGGTTTCTTGATCTTGGTTGCTCATAGATTTGGTTGTAATAAGCAATATAAACCTGGTACCTGTAAATGTCACATTAACAGTTATTTAAACAACTATTTAAGTGTCACTTACGATTTTGAGGGATTTTCAATCTAAGAGACTTTGGTGGAAATGAATAAGGAAGTAGCCTCATTAAAACAAGCACATTTATTCTTGGAGGGAAAAAAACCCCTAGATTTACCACTTCATTCTTTGCATTGCCTGTTTTGTTTCTGAATTACATATTTATTAGATTTATAATCTGCCTTTTCTTTGATAATGTAAAATAATGAATCTGGAATCTCTTCATTTTATTGTAACATCATGGTTGAGAATGGATTCAAACCTGGATCTCTAATTGTAATTTAGTTTTCTCTCCAATGATGCATCAGATTTTTTCCTCCATGCTGACTTGCTTTTGCAATACCGTTTTTCTTCTTACTTCACTAGTTTCTTCTTAACCTTTTTGTATATGTATACAGTTGGTTCTCATTTTATTCACTGATTTTTTGTATTTGCAAATTGCTTACTTGCTAAAATTTATTTATAACTCCTAAATCGATACTCGTCATGATCCTTTCAATCATTCCCAAACATGCACAGAGTGGCCAAACAATGGATTAACCTGACAGACAGATTCCCAACTCAGGTTGAAGAGTGCTCTCAGAGAAGAGGGAGTTGATCTGTTTTCCAAAGCACCTGAAGGCAGGACAAGGAGTAATGGGTTGAACAATATTAAAGAGAGATCTAAGATATTAACAATTAACAACCAGTGGAATGGCTTTCCTCCAGAAACTATGTGGGTTTCATCATTGCAGGTTTTCAAGAAGAGAATTTATAGAAGACCTCCAAGGTCCCCCCTCTGTTACTCTACATTCTAAATTCTGTAAGGCAATGCTCTGCCTTCTTATTTCAGGTTTTACTCTGTAAACAACTATCCTCTATTTCCCCTAGGAACTATGGTTTAGTATTCGCTAATTCAGTGTTTGCATCAACTTAACAGAACATAATGATCACAAATGAGAATGAACTGTGTGCAATATTTGTATCTGCTAAAACATATTTAAAAGTGAATCCAGTTATTGTTAGTATATCTTTGAAAAGATAAAGAAGGGATAGCTTCATAATATTTTTTTATTGGTCTCACAGGGAACCTTTAGTGTGGAAGCATCATAAATATTTTATTGATATTTTGGTGTCTTGGTGACTGCCTGAACAAGTCCCTGCAGTTTTCTAGGCAACATATTCAGAAGTATTTCCCCTTCAGATTATTCTTGGACCAAACTATCTTCCATGCAGAGGATGGCTTTAGAGTCTCTCCTTTCACAGCTTTAGGAACAAAATTCTCCTTTATAAATTAATAAACATGGCCACCTGAGTAAGAATTTATTAAAAATCAAAGTACTACTTACAAATGAAAATTATAAAATAAAATACAACTTTCATTAATATGAGATAAGCAGAAAGAGTAACAATTTAAAAATTGTAAGTTGCCAGTGACATTAAAAATATTTCCAAACTAACTTGTTTTAGAAACTGACTTAATGCCTATGGGTAAATAGGCATTGATTAATTGGATGATTGGGAAAATGGAAAATGTTAGAGTTATGAACTATGGGTGTAATTGAAATAAGGGCAAAACAGAACTGCAACCTCATAGCTATGCTGGCCTCTAAGAAGGATGATTGTCAAAAGAAATTAATGGATGCTGTAGATTCATTTACTTTTAAAGGTTTCCTTCCATTTTGTTATCCTTTTTGAGTTAAGCCTTTATGTTGTTTTTTGTTGAGTTGGGAGGATGCATGCAACAAAAACACATCTGGAATACGACAGGATTTCAGATTCAGACAGGATATTTGAAGTCGTGGTTAAAACAAATCATGGTGCTTTTTGGCCTAAACCAGTGGTGGGATTCAATTTTTTTTTACTTAATTTTTTTTTTTAATCAGCTGGGACCCAGGAGGCAGCAAATAGATTGGAGGTGGGTCCAGTCAGCAGTGGTATTTGCCTGTTCTCCAAATTAATCAAACTTTCCGCTACTGGTACTCCAGAACTGGTCAGAACTGGCTGAATACCATATCTGGCCTAAACATAAGGTAGCACTTGTTGCTTAAAAGATGGTTTGCAGGATCATTTAAACCCAATCAGATTAATTAAATCCCAAATCCTGGTTTTCCATTATGCACAGATCATCTCCAATATTGATGGAGGAACTACAAGTAATTGTAGAGGAACTTTAAAAAAACCCTATGCATTTAAACTTGGCTGATGACCATTCAATTGCTGATATGAGGTAAATTTAAGAACCCAACTGGAGTTCTATTTATGGAATAATCTGGTTAGAGACAGAATTGCATTTTGTTTTTATATTGGAATTTGGCTTCATCTTGTAATGGCCCATTGATGAGAAAATGTTTTGGTTTTCTTTGGGGAATATCTGCTTTCAGCAGAGCTATATGAGATGGACATGCATAATTTATGTTTCTAGGTTGAGGAGAGAAATAAAAAGAAAAGGCCGCTTTTATTGAGTGGTTTTTCTTTCCCTTTGAAGGACTATTAAAATTTTAATAAATACGAGGCATAAGCAGCAATGGGTTAGTACTTTAAACCAAGAGGATCATTTATGTGTTGTCATTTCCCATTTATTTGCCAGGAAAAAAAAGATTCCTCATTGCTAAGCTAAGTCTCATGGATTTCTTTTTTTAAGTTTGACAATGAGAATTCCTGCATGTTTTTCGGAATCTCAGCCTTTATGGTATTTTAGTGAGTTGTGTCTTGATGAAATAGCAGAAACAACATTCAAACAAGTGACTTACAGGTTCTCAGGATCTGATAGAAAACAGTGCAAATATCACTTTAGACTTTTCCCTCTAAGAGACCACCATCTAAGTGCATTCCTCAGCAAGGTTATGTAAGGTTACCTACAGCTCTCCCACATTTTCTTGGCTGCTTTTACAGATAAGCAGAAAAGACTACCTAAGTCATATTCTGAGGTATTTTTTCCTTTTACTAAATAGGGACCTAAAAGTTTCTCTAAATATATATCTTTGAAAAATATAGATGCAAACTGCAAGATTTGAGCCAGTTTGGTCTAGTGCTGTGATGATGAACCTATGACACGTGTGCCACAGGTGGCACATGGAGCCCCCTCTGCGGGCAGGCGAGCCATCACCCAGCTTAGCTCCACCGCGCATGCGCAGGCGCCTCCTGCCGGCCAGCTGATATTTAAGTCTTTGCTGTGCATGAGGGAGATGTGTGCGCATGCGCAGGGGGTGGGGGTGCATGCATGTGCATGGGTGGGGGCGCATGCATGTATGAGAGGTGAGGGGTTTGGTTTTAGGAGGCTTCAGGGAGGCCTGCTAGGCCTAAAACGGGGCGGTGTGTGTCTGTGTACTGTCGGCACGCGAGGAGAAAAAGGTTAAAGCATCAGACTAGAAACCAGAAGTCTTTGAATTCTAGTCCCAGTTTACTGTAGGTATGAAAGCCAGCTGGGCCAGCCACTCACTTTCAGCCCAAGTCATCTCATAGGGTGGTTGTGTTGAGGAAAATAGGAGGAGGGAAAGTGTATTGGGAATGTTCACCGCCTTGAGTTATTTATAAAAATAAGAAAGGTGAAGACAAACAAATATATTTCTTACTTTGTTATGGGTACTCTTTTGTGTTTTTAAATACTTTTAACTAGGTATATGGGATTGCTTAAAGATATTGGCTAACAGTTTCTCTGTCAATCAAGCCAACAGTTGGCTTTCTTTCTGGCTGGTAAAACTTGTTCTCTTCTGTCATGTTCAAGCCCTACAAAATATACTGTAAACTTTCTCCCACAATCCAGCCAGCTCTTTGTCTTCAGCACCATCTTCCAGTTCATACCATGCTATGTTTAAAATATTTGCTGCAATCACAGAAACAAAAAAAAGTTTCAGCTGTTTAACATTGCACAGTAGAATTACCAGTTGCCAATGCATTTTTTTTCTAAAACAAACAGCTAATCAATTGCCAGGACTGTCTATATCCATCTTAGATGCTAATCTTTACATGTTTTCATTCAGTTCACTTTCCTCAGTTCCCAGAGTTCTGTGGTAATTTAAGACTGCACCTCCGATGCCATGTCAGAGCCCTTCTTTCTCCTTCTTCTCCTTCTTGTGCCATATCTGTCATCATCGGATGTTGGGGATCCTATTTTTATCAACAACACACAAAAAAGTGGTGCTGAGTTTTGTCTAAACCAGTCCCTTAGATTTTGAAGCCATGGTATTGTTCTNAGGGCAGGGTGCGTGTCACAATCCAGACAGAAGGTAGTTGTGTGTGTGTGTCTGTGTGTGTGTGTGAGAGAGAGAGAGAGAGAAAGAGAGAGAGAGAGGGAGAAGGAGAGGGAGAGAGAAACTAAACTCAAAACTATGTTCAGCACACAACCAGTGTTTACATTTTCCCAAAGTTCAGCAGTGGCAATTTCTAATTCCAATTTTTGAATGCTGTTGATAATGACAGAATTAGATCCTTTGTTTTCCATGAAAAATTTCCCAAGTAATGGAAATCTTTTCTAACAGCCCATAGATAGAAGCAGCTATGGTTTCACTATAGAGAGTCGATCCACCACTTTCATTGCTACTATTATGGAAGAATAGTTGGCAAATTCATACAATGTTTTTTGCTTGTTTCTAAAACTAAATTTTCTTTTTGGGAATGAATTTTATTATTTTCATAAGGTATAATGACTTCTTTAGGATGTGACTGTATCACGTCCTCCATTTGTTTAGTTCAATAATAAAAAAATAAAAAAAATGGAGGGAGCTAGGAAACATTTGTCATTTTGTTCAAGTTGCTTTTTTAAAAGAACGTGTCATTTGCTTGCAGTGAAAATTGTTATGAGCTTTACCATGTTAAAAATTTGTTACAGCAAAGCATCAGTTCATGACTGTTGTTTTCTTTTTGTACATGCCATTCACATAAGTAAAATAATCCATGGACAGATAGACATTATGAGTGAAATCAAGCAATCTACATGTGTTTATTGTTGATAAGGGTTTGTAAAATATATTTTTTCAAAATTATATGTTCAGTGTATGGTGTATAATGTAATAATTAATGCAACAAATTATCTAGATTTTTCCTCTCTGTTTCTATTTAGGAGTAATTTCACTGACTCCTCCTCCTTCTAACACACTAGAAGTTAGAAATGGATTGACTCATGATACTACCCCAACAGATATGTGCAAAGTGAGTTAATGTAATTGTTTATCACTAATTGTAAGAGCATCTTAGAGCCAATCAGATCTTAGAGCCAATCAGATTTGACTCCATAAAAGTCAAATGAAAACAATTGGCATTGCTTTTATTCTGAATTGGCATCTTCGGCCAAACTGACTTTGTGAATAATATCACTGTCAATGGGAAAAAAGTTTTACCATAGGTCATTATTGCTGTCATGAGTAGCAGCCATGGTATATCAGCATCTCATCTGGATATGAGCATCTCTGTATAATGTCTATTTTTAAAAACTCTAAAATCAGCCCCAAAAGGAGGAGGTTCTCTGGAATCTATACAGGTAGTCCCTGACCACAACTGGGACCGTCACTAAGTACAACAATTGTTAAGTGAAATGTCACATGTCCATGATAACTTACATCGGTTCCAGCTGCAGGTGTTAAGCAAGTCACCCTGAATCATTAAGCATGATATCATGTAACTGCAACTCATAAATTCCTTGCTGACTTCCTCATTGACTTTGCTTGTTGGATGTCAGCTGTGGACATTGCAAATGGTGATTGCATGATCCCAGGACACTACTCCTGTTGTAAATGCACATAGGTTGTGAAGCACTCAAATTACATCAGAGATGCTGTGACGGCCACAACTTCAAGGACTGGTCATAAATCTTCTTATTCAGTGCTGTCGTAACTTTGAACAGTTGCTGAAAGAGAGTGTTGACTGTATTTATTAAATTACCTGTATTCATTACCTGTATTTATTAAATGCATCATAATATCTGTATTTATTAAATGCATCNCAGTCAGCTGAAGTGGCCTGCAGTACTGCACCCTAACCACTGTGCCACCTCGGCTCTATAGTTGATTCAATTTCAGTTGAAATTGATTCAGTTAAAATCAATTTCTGGAGGAGTGCATTTCTGTTGGCTATAGTACTGATAACTATTGTGCCAAATACCACTTTGAACAGAGTTCAGAAATGGTTTTAAAGTAATTCCAAATTTGATTCAGGAGTACATTTAATGCACTACCAAACATAATTCAAAATATATGAGTAAGTAAATAGAAAATAACATTTGGAAGCTGATAAAAACCTTAAAATAATACATTTATTATTGCCTTAGTTGGTTGTAAAATGATGCCATCTTCTGGCAGATAGAATACTAATGCCTGCTACTACACACACAGTAGTACTTATTTATTACTTTTATAGCTGCTATGCTTACTATGATTGGTAGCACAGTCAGCCCCAAATGTTTAGACTTTGTCATTATTATTATTTAAACCAGAAGGTTGAGAGTTCAGTCCTAGGAAGCAGTAAATGTTTCTCTCCTACAGTAGGACGCAAAGGATAAATGTCTGCTCCAAACTTCATGTGGCGTCAGGAAGGGTATCCAGCTAGTAAACATTCAGCTCCATCCAGTCACATCCCAACTGTACCCTGAATTAAGGGATTACAGGGTTGTAAAAAAGGAATTTATTATTAGTTAAAAATATAGGAATTGGAATGAAACAGTAGTGCCTCCTTGTAAATTTAGCATTTGTATATGCTGAGATTGAGGGCAAAGCAAGAAATCTATGAAGATTATTGCCAAGGTAAATTTAAGTCAGGCAGCATTCTATGGAAAAATAGCACTAGCACTTAGACTTATATACCGCTTCACAGTTCTTTACAGCCCTCTGTAAGTGCTTTCATTGATGTGGGACAGGGCCTGGTAGATTTTGAGGAATTTTGACTTCACATTACAGTTCACTGATATTAATGCATAAAAGCTTGCTCAGCTTCTCTATTTCACAGCTGGGTCTTCCAAGCCATCTGGAAAAATAAATATTATGTATTGATCCTGAAACCTTTTGCTGTAGTATTTGATTTGGGTTGTGTTGGTTGCCTCACTTGCAGATGGCTGAAATTTGAGGAAGATGTGGAAGACGGAGGAGAACGATGGAGTAAGCCGTACGTGGCTACTCTCTCACTGCACAGTCTCTTTGAACTGAGGAGCTGCATCATCAATGGGAGTATCCTTCTGGATAAACCTGCAAACTGCACTGAAGACGTTGCAGGTGCTATTTTTAACAATTTATGAGAATAAAAGTCAAGGAATCTGTTCTCTATGCCGCCTTCTCCTGTGTACAGAGAACATCCTTCCCAGATATAACCTGCCCAGATGCAAACTTGGATTAGACAGAAATTTCCTCAAATTCTGGAAATCTGTTTCAAGGCAGAATAATATAGCAGTCTTCCTTAATTTGGTGCCCTCCAGATGTTTTAGGGATATGACATTGGGAATATCGAGCCTTGCACACGATGACTAGGAATTTTTGGAGTTATATTTCCAACAATCTGCAGGACCACAGATTATGGGAAGGTTTCGTTTAATTTAAAAATCAAGCTAGTTTGCCCAGTTTGGTGATTCATTACATTTAGAGAATATTAATCCTCATTAATGCAGGTTTGGTGGGTGGGAAGATATGATGCCAAAGTAGCACAAATGGTTGAGAAAATAGTGTTTATTGTGCCTTCTGTTTTTTCCCCCCTTTAACTATTTTTAAAATATTGGATTAAAAAAGACTGTGGAAGCCAGAACAGATTTGGCTCTTTATATGAATCTCCCTCCTACCTCCATTACTCATGGAATGGAGCATCATGGATAGCTATTCTGAGAATTAAATATGGCAGTTAAGAATTTTCCTCTGATTGTCACTTTGGGGTGATTGCATTGTTTCTAGGTTAGATTTTTTTTCCCCTCAAAAAGAAATAGAATGCATATTTTAGTATCCTTACTCAAGCATACTGCTGCCACTGTCTAACCAATCCCAGGGCATGAGATCTAATTTAAGAGAAGAACAAGCATGGACTTCTAAATCAAAAGCCAATAAGAATGCATTATCTGATGACTGAACACTTTCTCATTGAAATAAATGCCAGTACCCTTGAAAGAAGAAACACATTCTTGTTCTTGAATATGATACTAGATAGCAGTGATGGCAAACCTTTTCGGTACCGACTGTGCTCGTTTGGGACGTACTATGCGAACCTATGGCATGCGTGCCTAAAGTGCCACATGGAGCCATGTCACTTGGCACGCATTGCCTCACCCGTTCCTCTTACGGTTTCCAGCGGGCGCAATTAGACTTCCGGTTACTGGCATGCAATCAGCTGGCTGGAGTGACCAGCTCTTCCTGTTTCTGGCACTGCCGCCTGCACAAAAGCCAGCTGATCATTGTGCGTGCAGAAACCCAAAAGAGGAATGGCAGGCGACATGGCTCCATATGCCATTTTGGGCACGCGTGCCAATGGTTCGCCATCACAGCTATATAGCTTGAAAGATACAAGAAATGAACTGATATTGCAACTACGCTTGTGTAAAAGTCTTTATATTATATTTTTTAGAAACCATTTTGGGAGTTTGAAGTTACAATCATTTGTTGTGACCACTTGAAGTTACAGTGGCATTGAAAAAAGTGACTTATCCGTTTTCACACTTACGACCTTTGCAGCCTGTGGTCATGTGGTCAAAATTCAGACACTTGGGAACCTGCATATGTTTATGACAGCTGCAGCATCCTGGAATCATGTGATTACCATATATAATTTTCGCAGCTAGCTTCTGATAAGTAAAGTCAATGGGGGAAGTCAGATTCACTTAACAACTGTGTGATTCACTTAAAACCTCTGGCAGAAAAAGATCATAAAATGAGGCACAACAATGGCCAATGGAATGGATGTTTGGGGCGCCATTGAGATTGTAGTTGAGGACCTCCCGTATTTGTCTCCTTTGAAGACATTCATTCTGTTATAAATGGTCCAATCTGATGTGTTGTGAAATGCTCTTTTCTGTTAATGGACTATTTTTAAAAATGCAGGTGTGCAAAGGATTATAAGGATTGCTGCTATAATAGGAAAAATATATAATTAAGTTTTTCTTTCCTCCCATTGGAAAAACTATACTGCTGAACCTTCCAACCATACCCAGTCTAATTAATATGATTTTAATTCAGGTTCACTAATCGCAGTGTAATCTGCATTGCATTTGTATAACTAGGTGGTTTTTCCTCTTTTCAGAAATGATCCTGGATAGCATATTTTCATCCTATGATGAATCCACACGTAAAAAATTCTGGGACACCCTCTTGAAAAAACACCATCATCTGCATGAAAAGAAGAGAAACATCCTTCCAATGGTCCGTTCTTTTGGAGACAGTGGCCAGAGAAAGTCTGATCCTCACTCAATTGATAAGACAGGTAAAGAATCTCTGTAATTCTGGTCCAATTTGCTCATTACATTAGGAATTATAAACCAAATGTTGAGAAATCATTGGGAATATGTAACAACTTCTGATTTACAACAACCACTAGTTCAGTTGCACAGCACCCGAATCCAAACCACAAATGTTTGTGTATGGATCTAATGATCAGAGAATGTGCCTCTGCTTGGTTTCTGGATTGTACATACTTCAGAGTAGCAGAGGAATATGAAAAACAAACACATTATTTTGGCAAATACTTACTCCATCTGACAAATTTTACTCAATCTATCATTTATTTATTTATTAATCTTATAGGCCGTCATCTCCATTCAGTGACCCTGAATATGGACTTGATGCATGGACATGACTAATTGCATGCAGCTTGTCCTTTCCCTTTTGCTATACTGCTTCAGCAATTTGGAAGACAAACTGGCTGCATTCATATAATAAAGTTGAATGATAATCTCGAGTGAAACCAACCAAAACTACTCTGTTTGTGTAATATGCTATCCCCAAATAAATTAACCATATTGAATTGACAGCCTAGTTCACACATTATATTAAGGTGTAATTTGCTGCCTTTTACCTTAACTATTTCGCCTAAATAATTTATGTATGTTAATCACCTTTTAAATAAGCATTTTAATTGTAAATGTCCAAAAACCTCTAGTAGTCAGTTGTATTGATTTATTATGTCATGTTAATTCAGTGTTGACAGTTAGCAACCATATAGATAGACTCTCTCCCAAGATCAACTGTCCCAGCATGAACCTTTTTCATTATGTTCCTTGACTTTAATTATCAGAGGTGACATATCATTTATCATTTAATGTTGCCAAAGGCATAGTACAAGTTTTTGATGTTTTGGACTCCAATTTGAAAATCATACTCATTTTCTTTCAATCCAGCTTCGTTCGTACTTAAGAAATGGAAATCCCAAAACATTAGTCTGTCCTCACATTTATACACAGGGCAGGGTGCGTGTCACAATCCAGACAGAAGGTAGTTGTGTGTGTGTGTCTGTGTGTGTGTGTGAGAGAGAGAGAGAGAGAAAGAGAGAGAGAGAGGGAGAAGGAGAGGGAGAGAGAAACTAAACTCAAAACTATGTTCAGCACACAACCAGTGTTTACATTTTCCCAAAGTTCAGCAGTGGCAATTTCTAATTCCAATTTTTGAATGCTGTTGATAATGACAGAA